CGGTGGACATCTTTAAAAAGCAGCTAAAAACACACCTGTTTTCACTAGCCTTCCAAAACACATAGCCTGTTGTTTTATTTCCTTATTTATTATAGCTTTTATTGCATTTTATCTGTTTTTACTTGTGTTGTTTTTATGTTATCATGTGAAGCACTTTGTGACTTTGTCTGTGAAAAGTGCTATACAAATAAAGTTTACTTACTTACTTACTTAATCACCCATTAAATCCAATAATCCAGTAAATGAAATTGAATAGAAATATGACAAAATTGTACTTTTACAACTACAAAAGTAAATACACATTACAACACAAGCAGAAAACCATCTCACATAATGTAAACAAGTCCTTGTTCTACAAATTGTCATAAATGAGTGAGTTTTAGATTGATAGAGGAGTCATGGCATGTAACCTAAATAGCTGGAATAGAACAAACAGTTGACACCAACCAGAAGGGCCTGTTTCAGTACACTGGCTCTGAATGAAAGCACCAGCCTCTGACCCTGCATACAAACCAGATAATGCAGTCACGTAAAGCATATTTAAATACTTTTATTTTCTCTTTGCTAAAGTGAAAATATGTTGTTCCAATGAAACAACAGATTATAGCAACAAAGATCCGTGAAGCAGAAGCAGGCTTGACATCTATTGTAAAGTCATATAAATAAGTGACTGTTGCTCTTTGGTGAAACTGTCACCCTAACAAGGCATCTAAAGTTACTGATTGAATAGGATTTGTCATTTAAATTACATATTATAAAGTTTTCTTAAACTCCGTCTTTCATGTCAGTATGGTAAAAAATAGATGTACCTTGTCCAAGGTGATTAACTATTCCATGGATTTCTTACTTCAAGGCTGGACTATTGTACTACTTACTATCAGGAAGTCTCCTAAATGTAGATAAAAGTCTTTGGCTGATAGAATATGCTGAAGCACTGATCTGTGACACTGTATAATATGCTTAGTCCGTGAGGCAGACACCCTGTCTACTTTTAAGACTAGACTTAAAACTTTCCTTTTTGATAAAGCTTATAGTTAGAGTGCCTCAGGTTATCCTGAGCTATCTCTATAGTTAAGCTGCTATAGATTTAGACTTCTGGAGGACATAGGGACCCCCATTTCATCATTCTGCTTCATTCTATCTCTATTCACCCACTCTGCAGAATCTATTAGTTCAATCTCTAATGTTATGCTCTCTCTGCTTTTTCTTATAATAGCTGAGACACCATCCAGGAGAGAAATATCAGCTGTGCTGCTTCCATCAACACCCTTGTTTATAGATGCTGGTGATCGGCCTGTTTTCCAGTGTGGTCCTGTTTCTCTGACCATGACTGGCTGGATGTGCTCTCTTCATCCTCTGACATGGGAGCTGGCTCGGAGCTCGTCTGCCTGGCTGTGTGTTTCCTGGACGGGGGCGCCTTTTACAGCTGCTTTTTGTATCTCTGGTTCTGCCTCCTTGAACCCCAGTCAACCTCGGCAGATGGCCGCTTATTGAGCCTGGTTC